TTGTCTCATCCATTTCATTTATAACCTCATTGATTTTTCTTTTTTTGTCATTTTTTTTCGCCTCCAACTTTTTAGCTTGTGCTTCACGAGCTTTTTTTAATTGACGGACATGACTTGAAGTTAAAGGCATTCTTCCCGGTAAAAAATCCTAAATTTAATGTTTAATAACTTTGGTTTGAGTAAGTATTCAAACGAATTAAAACTATAAATGAATACATTATAGACTAGAAAACAACATGACACATCGCTTTTTTAAAAAAATCCAAAGAAAAAAATTTTTTATTGGAGAGCTGTGCTCAAATAGATTTATTTATTATTTTTTGAGGTGTAAATGATGTTTTTTTGAAAAATCGAGCTGTTACATAAAAGAGATAATGATTTAGAACAATTTTGTAAAATTTGGAGCGAAGATATTGGGAAGAGTTTAGTGTTATTAAAGTATGAAAATGCATCGATTTAGTGCGCAAAAATCGTTAATAGTAAATTTTACTATAGGACCATATATAGTTTTGTTAAACTATGTTGACCGAACACCCAATGACAGATGCAGATATTGTTTAATAATAACCATTATCTTTAAACTTACGGATAAATTGGAACGCAAAAGATGCAAAAAATAACATCTATTAATGTTAAATTAATAATGAATATTATGATATTAATGAGTTTTTACTTAGCATAAGATTTAATAACCTTAATAATAATGATTTCAAATTACAATTCCAACCTAAAAAAACTTATATATATTATATTTCAAGTTTTTTAAGTTTATTTTATTACTTACTGAATTTCTTTTCCATTTTAAATTAAATTAAAACATTTTACACCAATATTATAAATTAAAGGAATTTTGTAAATGTAAACTTTCTTAATTACATAAATTTTCAATCAATCTATTTCAAAAATTTTAAGGCCAGCCTCTGGCCGGCTATGACCATGAATCTAGATATAAATATAAATGTTTTAAATTCATAAAATGGGTAAGATCGAGTTTACATTTTTTCTCTAAAAAAAGTAAATTAATTATTTTTAAAACTCCATTTAATTTATGATACAAACTAATAATATCTAAATATCATTACTTTATTTAATATAAATACGACAAATACTTTAACATTATTATTTGTAAAGACTTCTTATTTTTCTTTTTGTTATAAAATTTCATATTATCATCGTGTAAAGTTGTTAATGGAAGTAACGATCCTTGGACCAAATTCTAAAAACGAATCGGTTGCTTCTTGACTTGATTACTTATAAGCCTTCGTAATGGCATTTTCACCTAACCTTATTTATCTTGTACCAGGTGAACGAAAACCAACTTTAAATGTAATTATTCAATTTATAAATGTTTCCAAAAATGGAACATCCCGTAATGCACATTTTATTCGCGAATACTTTCTTGATGCACTGTCATTCCTATGATTGGCTATTGCAGATCAATTTAAATTGGGTATTATTTATACAGTTTAAAGCTTACCGTTTGATTCTTTGGAACGTTAAATAACTGCTTGTAAAAATAATCCAAAATAATCCCGGTTTTAAAAGAGTTGCTTAGAGGTGACATACTATAATAATGAAGCTTAAAGTTTATATTGTTATAAAACTTGTTTTAAAACTTCTAATAATCCAAAAAAAGTTTTAAAACTTGTATTTAAAAAAGTTAAAAAAAAATTTGAAATACTTATAAAAATAATATTAAATATATCATATTTATTTTTTTATTATTGGTCAACCTTTTTGTCGATTGTACTTATTATAGAAATGCTGATCAATATTTTAAATCAATTAAAACCAATTAGAAGAAAGTCTTCCTATGAGATGCACTGTTCTAGCCCTGTTCGGATACAATTGAGCACAATTTGTACGAATCATGTTGTAAACAATAAAAGACGAACACCTATTTTCGTGGATCGGTTTAACCGACCGCTGATCGATTTAATAACCTATCATTTTAAGGGCACATTTTGCGGTCATCCGATCTAGAATTGAACAGGGCTAGTATTACCAATTTTTTGTCGTAATATTAAATAAAAATGAAGAAATAAATCAGAAAACTGCTCTTTAAGTTCTTTAAGTTGTTTTACGATTATTATTTTTTTTTAAAAACAATTTTTAATCATTAACTAAAAAAATCAAACCAAGAATTTAAATAGAGAAATGAAGCGGTCAAAATCATTTTTTATCGCGAAAATTGTGTGCCTCGTGGCAGTTTTATTCATAATATCAGTAGAACCTTTCACAACATTCGTACATGAAGAATCAACATCATATCCTTCACTACCTCGAGTATGGAGAAATGCAGTTTATGATGACGGAACCACAGTTTTTCACATAATTCGTAGAGATACCAGCATCAAGTTACACGATAAAGTTTGCTTAATACAAAAATTAATGTTACGTATCCTTTATCCTAACGGGACGTTAACCGAATTGGACATGGAATTAAACATTCCTTCTTTCAATTTTTGTATTTTCTCCGCAAAATCACGCAACTTTGATCCAATAAAGATGCATGCATTAAAACCCGGTTATTTGCTACTACAATATTATAACGCTACCGATGCGTCAAGATTTGAAACTTGGGAAGAATGGGGAATGGTCATTGATTGGCAAGGACAAACTTATGAGTTCGTATTATTAAATATGTATTATGTATGTAACTCTTTACAATAGAACCGCAAATTCATTGCAAGGGGGTCCATACACATATTCTAAAACTTTTTTTTTTCTTTTGACGTAATTAAAAATATTATCGTCTTTTTATTTTTACCACTATAATTAAAATTTTAGGCCAACGTTTTTGGGATTATCTTTTATAGATGCAATCACCAGAGCTGTGGTTCCAGGTATGAGCGATGTCACAGTAAACATTAACCGAGGAAAAGGATTTTTACGTTTGGCCGCGTTACGAGATACTACTGATTGTGAATGGCAGCAATATTCAATGTAATATATTTTCATAATTCATTTTAACTTTACTTGTTTACTTTTTTATTTACTTGTTTTCTTTAACCGATTTAGAGGAGAGAATAAAGAGCTCATCAAACTATCTGGAGGAGTTATCACTCTTCCAATTTTCAATGGTGTGAAAGTCTCGACAATCGCAACCGTTGATGAAGGCTACGCTATCGTATTTGCTAATTCATCCGATATCGTTGATAACGCTGACCCTTTACTACCTCGAGGTGGACTGTTTGTTCTTTCATTAGCATATGGACAAAATACAATCTATTCCCCATCCCTCTTATATCAATTTTCATTGCCCAACTTATTATTTGATGCGCTCCAGTGTGGTATCACATATGTCAGTGTCGGTCATATGTGCACATTTACCGTACAACAAAATCTCGGAGACCCAACCAACCTAACAAAGTCTGATTTATATTATTTTAAAATTACTTTCCTGTCCTCCGGATCTGTCACGAGCTTTATATCAATGTCTCGTATATTACCAAACATTGTAAATGTTGATGTAAATTCGTGGCAAATTAGGTATTTACCATACGGGGGATATTTTTTAAATTCCAATATAGTTAGATCAAATACACAACAAAAAGTTCACTTAATGGTTGCTTATGTCTTTGATGAAAATGATACGAATGGAACCCCTATGGAATTAAATGAATTCTCCTCCATTAATATCGCGGGAATTACCGGAATTTTACCTAATAATACGTTATACATTGCTCAACAAGAAGTAAAGGATACTTGGTCCTTAATATTCATCGACCTTCCAAGATTCAATGGAAACAAAGATCATGGTTATTCTAACGTACATATTGATATTACGGATCCACCAATTAGGTCAACGATATCATCATCTTTAAAACAAATTTCCATCACTTATTTCGATGCAGTGGATCTTTCGGATGGTAGAGCTTCTATTTACCAAATAAATTATGACGGGCAGGAAGTTCTTAAACAATTTGTCTCTGGTAAAAATTCTAAATATTGTCAAATAAGTGAAGATGGTCATGTTGTAACTATTAAAATTATAGATAGCACATTTAGTCATGGTGGTAGCACTTTTTATGTTACCATAGATAATAATTTTGTAAAGAGTAAAGCGTTTAAAGAACCTCTTATGGGTTTACGCGATAATGTTTGGACATTTTCAACAAGTAAATTTTTCTAGGTTACACTTTATTATTATTATCATTTATTTATTTATGTATTGATTATTTATTTTCACTTATTTACTATGCATGATGGATTTCTAGAGACTAGCGAAGTTAAGATTGCAGGTACGTGTAATCATATCCATAACAAAACCACCAATTACAAATTAATCTAACTCCTTTTTTTTTTAATTCGCATCGTAGGTTCCATATCAGGAGTATTACGTTTAACGGTCGAGGGAACAACTTATATTGATCAACTTGATACGGAAGGACAGACCCAATTCTTTAATAATCTAGTGAATGAAATTTCCACAATGTTAAAAATACCTCCTTCACGTCTGAAATCCAACGGTCGATTCCAAGTAGATTTCACCATTTCACCGGAAAAGCAATATTTAATATCATTGAACATTATTCAAACAAAAGATAAAGCTGAAACGAGCGTTGAATCAATTATTAAAGATTTAAATACAATGATCTTAAATAAAGAAGTATCACCAATTTCATTGGGCAGAACAACTCAATTTTTAGATGCTAATTATGGGTTACCAACAACGCGTAAGTTCATAAAAATTTTTAAATGATTATTCTCTCCCAAAAAAATAAAAAAAAAAAGAATTTAAAAAAAATAATAATGATAATAATAATAATTCTAGAAAACCTATGGAATAAATATAAAACGAGGGGCTTCATGGTGTTTATTGCTATAGGAACTTTAGTTATAATTTTCTTATTGGCGCGACGAAAAGAGAAAAAGGGACAAAATATGGCTATCTTACAACTTGGTCTTATTATTTTTGATTTGCTCATGGATATTCTTTTTGTCATCACAAACTCTCAAGATGTTGACTGGCTTTATATTCCAAGTATTATCTTTATAATAGTTCCTATCGGATTGAATGCTGTTTTAGCCTTTTTAATTATAACAAATGAAAATACAAATAAAGAGTTCTTAGAATGGTTTTCACAAAATGGAAAGGTTGCATCTACATTCACTTTATTAGCTGGTGCAGATATTGAGGTTTTGACAATTCTTCAATCAAATATTGCTGGATTCTCATTTTTCCAAGCTCCATTCTCTAATGAAGCAAAATCAAATATCTTTTGGTGTGCTTGTTTAAGCGTTTTCCTTGAAGATATTCCTCAATTATTCATTCAGGTAAGAGAATATTCATTATATTTTACATGTTCGAAGATAATTAATGATTTTTTAACAAATATATATATATTTATATAGGTTTTCTACCAGCGAAATACCATAAATTACGATATTATTCCACTTTTTACGCTTATTTCATCTAGTTTAACTTTGACAATAAATATCATTGGAAGATTATATCAAGCAATTAACCGACTTCGTAATAAAGAAGAACCTGAATTGAAAGGGAATGATAAAGGTTTTGATGTACTTGACCCATTTCCAAAGTCCTCTGTAGATAAAATCAATGACTTTAACGACGAGCATAAAGTCGACATAAAAGATGATCAATTTTAAAGCAGCGGAAAAAGAATTCAAATCTAGTTTTCAAGAAATGATAAATTAAACACATATATATTTTTTTTCTAGTGCATTTTTACATTTTGAGACAATAATAATAATATTATATATTTATGTAATATTATATCACTAATTTTTTTGTCAAAATAATTTTTTTTATAATAATCATTTATTTAAAAAGATTTTGAAACCAAGATATAAACAAACATTATTATATAATAAAATTTGATCAAACTTATACGTTTCCTAGAGAACCTATCATTGAATTGGACATTATTCAACGAGTATGTCATACTTTGTGTTTCAGCTTGTTCATTATAATTATTATTTTTCAATTTATTGAATTTTTGTAAGCTTTTTAACTATAAATGTAAAATTTTTAGTCTTAAAAGTGATTAGAATAGTTATTTTTTGACAAATAGCCGAATTTTTATTTATTGTCTAAAAATTTATATAAAAATATAGGCAATACAAAATGAGGTTATCTTATATAATCTTTTCACATTATTATTTACTTTTAATTATATTAATTCTTACCTTTTTACTTCCATATCAACGGGTGATAAGTTAAGGTTGGGTCCAGTTCATTAAATATTGCGTTGAGGAATTAGTTGAACAGTGAAGTAAAGGAATTCAGAAACAAAGGGAATACGTAGGATATATCTTCGATCAATTAAATCCATATCGCACAGAACTATGTAGTCAACCGCAAAAAAAAAAAAAAAATCGTAATAAAATAATAGATCCTTTCAAAAATCTTTTCAATAAAATTTTCAAAACAATTATTCCGAAATATTGTGCAAAATGCAACTAACATTCCTTTTTTTTTTCAAAAGATAATTATGATGTATTACAACAAGGTGTTATGAATCATAATGGTCTATAAAAAATTCTTATGTAGATATTTTTATTTTAAAATTAAAGATATGTTATAAATTTTATGAATTTTGGTTTAAACTTTGGTCCAGACTCCAATCATTAACACAGTTCGATTTTACCCTCAGACTGAACAAAACACAACTTTATCCATCACTCTTTGTAAAATATTTATGGTAAGAATGTCACTAAATAATCACATGAATACGGAAATCAATACCAGCTCTCGCTACGCGATATTTGAAATTTGTTTAGATTCTCCGGAAACTGTATTTATAGTGATTTCGCCTTTTACAAGTTTTATGCGATTACAATATATTTTTCATCAAAGTTAAACGTAATATTTGAAGGCATTTTACCTATTGATTGTAATGCATGAGGTGATGTTAA